AACGGTCGTAAGTGTGAAAAATGTCACTCATTGCCATTGTAACTTCGAATGGTCACTAAACGAATGGTTGTAAGTGGAGGACTCCCTGTCCTGGGTTGAATTGATTCATTGATTTATTCAAATTTATTTGTCATCCAGTGGCCTCTTTTTCACGGAGAGGAGAAGAAAGAACAGTGTGTATATGTGTCCTTGATGCTCCCTGAGCTTAGTTGCTTTCTTGCAGACATTTCATGACCCAAGTAGGGAACATCATCAGTGCTAGAAGGGAGGGAGGATTTTCAAAGAGAAGGAGGAGGAGGAGGAGGAGAACTGTGGGGTCCTTGGGGCTTTCTGGTTTGTTTTCTTGCAGATGTTTCATGACCCAACTTGGGAACATCATCATTTCTACCCTATGACTATCATTAAGTGTTGTACCTTATGATTCTTTTTTTTTTTTTTGCAAAAAGTTTTTTTTTATTTTTCTTCCCCAAACATACAAATTACATCCTTTCGGAACAGAGCTTTGATCCGGTCATCACTTTGTTCAGTTTTTAACAAAATCTTTAACAAAATTTTATTCTATTCTATTTTGCCATAACACTTATTTCTTAATCTTAGATCACATATTCAACTAAGGCCATCTTAAAAGAATTAACACATATTTACTTAATCAAAACAATTACCCTCCTATTAACCCACCTTAATTCTTAATTCAATTATTAACTCATAATACAACAGTTCTTACCCTAAATCCTCACTATTGACAATACAGTTCAAACGTATTTATATTTCATTATGCTCGTTAAATTACCTTATGATTCTTGATGAACGTATCTTTTCTTTTATGTACACTGAGAGCGTAGGCACCAAAGACAAATTCCTTGTGTGTCCAATCACACTTGGCCAATAAAAAATTCTATTCTATTCTATTCTATTCTATTCTATTCTATTCTATTCTATTCTATTCTATTCTCTACTCTACTCTACTCTACTCTATTCTCTACTCTACTCTACTCTACTCTACTCTACTCTTCTATAATCTATTCTATTCTATTCTGTATTCTCTTCTCTTTTATATTCTCTTCTCTTCTCTTCTATATTCTCTTCTGTATTCTCTTCTCTTTTATATTCTATTCTATTCTATTCTACTCTACTCTACTCTTCTATTCTCTTCTGTATTCTCTTCTCTTCTTTTCTCTTCTCTTTTATATTCTATTCTATTCTATTCTATTAGTGCTGAAGGGAGCAGGATTTACAGAAAGGAGGAGGAGGAGGAGGAGGAGGAGGAGGAGGAGGAGGAGGAGAAGAAGAAAACTGTAAGGTCCTTGGTGCTCCCTGAGCTTGGTGATTTTCTTGCACACGTTTAATTACCCAACTAGGGAACATCATCACGCTAGAAGGGAGGAGGATTTTCAGAGGGAAGAAAGAGGAGGAGGAGGAGGAGGAGAACTGTGGGGTCCTTGGGGCTTTCTGAACTTGGTTTGTTTTCTTTCAGATGTTTCATGACCCAACTAGGGAACATCATCAGTGCTAGAAAGTTCAGTGCTAACTCCCACTCCTTTGTAACACTGATGATGTTCCCTAGTTGGGTCATGAAACGTCTGCTAGGAAAAGAACCCAGCTCAGAGAGCCCCAATGGCTCCTCATTTCAACCCTGAGCTACAAATATTCTCCTTTATGAGAAAATAGGAGCTGGGGAAACTTTCCGTAGACACGGAAGGGAAAAGTGAGCGATTTGCATCAGCCGAACGAATCTTTCCTCTAATTGCAAAACTCGGATCAAGGTTGAGGAAGGATGAAGCGTTTCGTTTCTCCAGATATTCTTGGAGGCGGCAAAACCTCCATCCCTAAATTGCTTTCAGCCCCCCCCCCGTGCCCAGGGTTTTTAGCGCCCCTACTAAAAAAAAAAAGGCACATTATGGAAATTAAACCTAGATTGATTCAGGTGTCCTTCCAAATGGGCACCGTTCGGACTCTGCCAAGCATGAGGGGGAGGGGGGCTCAGGATTGGGGAGAGGGAGGGAGGGAGGCAACCTGCACACGAGGCATTTTCGGAAAAAAAATAAAGTTAAGATGGCCCTTAAGAAAGGGAGGGATGAGAATTAGGAGGGACTCTGGTAGAACCCTTCGTATTGGCACCAGTGCAGAAAAGCTGTTTGATAGAAGAAGATGATGGATGGATGGATGGATGGATATAGGATAGATGGACATGAGAGAGATGATTGATGAATGGATGGATGGATAGATAGATAGATATACAGACAGATAGATGAGAGAGATAATAGATATGGATGGATGGATGGATGGATGGATGGATGGATGGATGGATGGGATGGATGGACGGGACGGATGGATAGACATACAGACAGAGATGAGAGAGATGGATGGATGGATGGATATACAGACAGATGAGAGAGATGAGAGATATGGATGGATGGATGGATGGATGGATGGATGGATGGATGGATGGATAGATATAGAGACAGATGAGAGAGATGAGAGATATGGATGGATGGATGGATGGATGGATGGATGGATGGATGAATATAGGCTAGATAGACAGATGAGAGAGATGATGGATGGATAGATATACAGACAGAAAGATGAGAGAGATGAGAGATATGGATGGATGGACGGATGGATGGATGGATGGACGGATGGATGGATAGACATACAGACAGAGATGAGAGAGATGGATGGATGGATGGATATACAGACAGATGAGAGAGATGAGAGATATGGATGGATGGATATACAGACAGATGAGAGAGATGAGAGATATGGATGGATGGATGGATGGATGGATGGATGGATGGATGGATGGATGGATAGATATACAGACAGATGAGAGAGATGAGAGATATGGATGGATGGATGGATGGATGGATGGATGGATGGATGGATGGATGAATATAGGCTAGATAGACAGATGAGAGAGATGATGGATGGATAGAATATACAGACAGAAAGATGAGAGAGATGAGAGATATGGATGGATGGATGGATGGATGGATGGATGGATATAGGGTAGATTGATGGATGAGAGAGATGATAGACATATGGATGGATAGACTAGACTAGACTATTTATTTATTTTATTTCCTTGTTTCTTGGCTTGATTATTCAATTTATATGTCCCTCCATCTCACTAATCAAAGCATAAGGGAGGCATAGGTGCTTTGCAAAGAGAGAAGGCAATGGAGAAACATTGGGAACGCAATGGGTATAAACTGCATTTAGATATAATTCTTCTTCTGTTTTCTTATACCACGCCCTTGCTTTATTTATCATACTATTTTTTAATTCCCCCTCTGTGTCTTTCAAACTATTGTAGGTATGCCAGTACGCGTGTCTGCATGAGTTTAAAAATACATTCACATGGGATGCGTTTTATATATATATATATTTTTAATAGCCTTTATTAAGGTGCTTTAAACGTCAATATGGAGCCAACACGGGGAGGACTGAGCTTCAAAACATGATGGGGAAAACATTATGCTAAAGCAGTGGTCTCCAAACTTGGCCCCTTTAAGACCAGTGGACTTCAACTCCCAGAATTCCCTAGCAGGTGCTGGGAGTTGAAGTCCACAAGTCTTAAAAGTGGCCAGGTTAGGAGACCCCTGACCCAAAGCGACGTTGTCCGTTTGGAAAAGCTGTACGCAAACCTCCCCAGACGAGGAAAAGGCGTGTTGAAAATTAGAAGCTGCGTTTTTCAAAATTTAGAAGTTGCCGGACCTCTTGGGGGTCAACCAGATATGAATCCCGACTAAATGAGTTAATTCTATTTTTGTTGTGACCTAGGCTTACTGAGTCATTACAAGACACAATTAGTCCCAAACAAACCTACTTTATTGTAACAGCTGGGAATGAATGTAATTCTCCCAATTAGTTGCAAAATACGTCCTTCGGAAGAAGTCCTTCCGGATAACCACCAACCTTTATCTTCTTTGACACCCTGCCAAAGGCCTTACTTGGCAAAGCCCCACGAAGTTCAGACACAAACAAGAGATGCTGACTGGAAACAGAGTTAGCAACGTTGCTTTCCTGCAAAAGGCCCAAGTGCCTTTGTTTCTCTTTTAAGCCTCATGGGAGGGGCCAAACATCTCCTGGCCTTACTCCTGAGTCGTCCCTTTTGCTTTAGCTGCTCTTGCCTTCTGGCAGCTCTGCGCATGCGTGCACTAGGAACAGGCTCCTCCTGTTCCTCTGCCTCTCTGCTGTCCGATTCTGGGGGCTCTGGAGTCCGCACATCACTCCCAGATGGCCCTGGCCCCATCTCTGCCTCCAACACAGAGCCCTCATCCGGGCCTTCCCCAGCCGCCAGGACTGGCCCATGTTCCTCCCCAGCCTCCTCACTGTCCGACTCCGCTGCCAGCTCTGCAGGCTGCTGGCAGACCACAACAATTTTGTTGTAAAGCGACCTTGACAGAATCGTGTAGATTTGAAAGTCCAAATCTCCCGCCGTCTCTTATACAGCTTGAGAAACTAGGGAGCGTCCCTTCTGAGCCTCTTTCTCTGTCCTTCTTTGCAACTCTGGGCTATGCTGTCTCTTATCTGACTGTACCCTAAAGTTACATTAACACAAGACTTGCATGTTGTAAGTCTGAAAAGTACAAATCCCCCACCATCTCCTTTGGGGGTCTGAGAAACTAGGGAGGGTCCCTTCTGAGCCTCTTTCGCTGTCTGTTATGCAGCTGAGGGCTATGCAGACTCTTATCTGCTGTTCTCTTGGCAGTGTCTCTTAACTCCAGTCTCCCAAGGTCATTCGCACACACTCACCAGGTTTAAAATTCACCAGCCAGGATGTTAAATTACCAATTCAGATTGGAACTGTTCGGCAAGAGAATTGCCTGGGATCCTAATTTCTTTTTCAACAGACCTGAATAAGTACTAGTATAGACCATCTTGGAAATCTCCTAAATCTCTTACTTACTTACTTACTTACTTACTTACTTACTTACTTACTTACTTATTTATTTATTTATTTATTTATTTATTTATTTATTTATTTATTTATTCTCCAGACTGAAAATGCTGCTCCGAGTCCGGGATCTGCATTTAGACCAGAGGATGAATTAGAACACTTGACCAAAAAGATGCTCTATGACATGGATAATCCACCTTCAGAAGAATACTTTGGTGAGTTTGATGATTGCCCTTGCATTTTTGTGACTGAAAAAAGTGACTTATGACCGGTGCTCGCACTTACGACCATTGCAGCATTCCCCACAACCCCACCCCCCCAGTCACGTGATTTGGGAACTTTGCAACTGGCATGTATTTTTGATCGTTGCAGCATCCTGAGGGTCACCTGATCACCAATCGTGACCTTCTCAGCCGGCTTTAACAGTAACAGAGTTGGAAGGGGCCTTAGAGGTCATCTAGTCTAACCCCTTGCACACGCAGGAGACCTATACTAGGGATTCAAACCGCCGAACTGCCGACTTTTCTGATCGACAAGCTCAGCTTCCTAGCCACTGAGCCACCTGGCCAAGCAAAGTCAGTTGGGGAGGGAGCCGGATTCGCTTAACGACCGCATGATTCATTAACAACTCCAGTATTTCATTTAACAACCGAGGAGTTCACTTAACAACTGCAGTGATTCACTTAACAACCAGGACAAAAAAGGCATAAATTTTGGGATCGGCTCACCTAACAATCACTTTGCTGAGCCACAGAAATTCTGGTGTCAATTGTGGTCGTAAGTCGAGGACTACCTGTATCAAAAAAAAAAAAAAAAAAACCTGGGAGATCTGTTGTTCAAAGGGGAAAACAAGTATTTTAAGAAATCTGTACGTTTGCTTCTTCTCTGATCCTTGTCTTTAGAAATCTGAGACAGTTATGGAATACCAGTGGCAGGGAGTTTCCCAGGCATTTTGTTTTAACACGGGAGGGGGGGGAGTTAATTTTCAGAGCCAAAGAGTTTGGCTGGTGGCTGTCTAACGCGCTTGGCCTTTACTGTAGGGTCTCCAAACTTTAAGATTTGTGGACTTCAACTCCCAGAATTCCTCAACCAGCCGTGCCAAGTTTTTTTTCCCCCTCGTACCCCTAAAGCGGAGAGATTGCAGAGGAAGGGATTAGAAGAGAGTAAGCGATGCTGGCTGGGGAATTCTAAGAGTTGCTCTTCAGACTGGCCAAGATGTGCCCATCCCATGCCAGAAAATGAAAACCAAGAACCCAAAAACCTACCTTGACCGCAATTGAGGTTGGGCAATTTCTGCAGAGAAACTCAATGTCATAGAAACTTCTTCTCCGCCCAGGTTTGTGCATTCGAGCATTAGGTCAACTGCACTGGGACGCATTTTTAAAAATCTGTTGAGAGCTGCGATTTTTTGAATGGAAAGACCTAATTAACTGAGCTGGAGAGCTTCAGGCCATTATCATAATTCATGAGTATAACTTGGTCCAAATTATTACATCTGAAAAGGCAAGCAGGATTGGAAAAGGTCATTGGCTCGCTCTGGTTTTTTTCTGTCTTTCTTCCTTTTTATTTCCAGCCCCCTCACCTGCCTCTTTTTCAGATAGTCCTCGACTTATGATGACAGTTGTGACCAAGAGAGAGGGGGGAGAGAGAGAGAGAGAGAGAGAGGGAGAGAGTGTGTGTTGGATGGGTGGATGGATGGATGGATGGAAGGATAGACAAATAGATAAAGGTAGGTAGGTAGGTAGGTAGGTAGGTAGAGATAGATAGATAGAGAGAGAGAGAGAGAGAGAGATGACATAGAGAGAAATAGATAGCTAGAGAGAAAGAGAGAGAGATGATAGAGAGAGAGAGAGAAATAGAGATAGATAGATAGATAGATAGATAGATAGATAGATAGATAGATAGATAGATAGAGTGTTGGATGGGTGGATGGATGGATGGATGGAAGGATAGACAAATAGATAAAGGTAGGTAGGTAGGTAGGTAGGTAGAGATAGATAGAGAGAGAGAGAGAGAGAGAGAGAGAGAGAGAGAGAGATGATAGAGAGAGAGGGAGAGATGACATAGAGAGAAATAGATAGCTAGAGAGAAAGAGAGAGAGAGATGATAGAGAGAGAGAGAGAAATAGAGATAGATAGATAGATAGATAGATAGATAGATAGATAGATAGATAGATAGATGATAGATGATAGATGATAGATGATAGATGATAGATGATAGATGATAGATGATAGAGAGAGAGAGGGAGAGATGACAGAGATAAATAGATAGCTAGAGAGAAAGAGAGAGAGAGAGAGAGATGGACAGAGAGAGAGTGTTGGATGGGTGGATGGATGGAAGGACGGACAGATAGATAAAGGTAGGTAGGTGGATAAATAGAGATAGATAGATAGATAGATAGATAGATAGATAGATAGATAGATAGATAGATAGATAGAGTGTTGGATGGGTGGATGGATGGAAGGAAGGTAGGTATATAGGAAGGTAGGTAGAGATAGATAGATAGATAGATAGATAGATAGATAGATAGATAGATAGATAGATAGATAGATAGATAGATAGATAGATAGATAGATAGATAGATGATAGATGATAGATGATAGATGATAGATGATAGATGATAGATGATAGATGATAGATGATAGATGATAGAGAGAGAGAGGGAGAGATGACAGAGATAAATAGATAGCTAGAGAGAAAGAGAGAGAGAGAGAGAGAGATGGACAGAGAGAGAGTGTTGGATGGGTGGATGGATGGAAGGACGGACAGATAGATAAAGGTAGGTAGGTAGGTGGATAAATAGAGATAGATAGATAGATAGATAGAATAGATAGATAGATAGATAGATAGATAGATAGATAGATAGATAGATATGGATGGATGGATGGATGGATGGATTGGCAGAGAGAGAGAGAGAATCAAACTTCAAATATCTGTTGCTAAGCATTGCTAAGCACCCAAATTTGGATCGCCAGACTGTTGGGATGCTGCTATGGTCATAAATGCGAGGAGTGGTTGTAAGTCACTTTCTTCAGTGCTGTTGCGACTTCCAACGGGCGCTAAACGGATTGTTGTAAGGCGAGGACTTCCTACATTCAGGGTTCTGTGTGGCTGAAGGTTGCTCGTGTTCAGGGCCAGACCAATTAAACCCCCAAGTAACTGCATTCGCAAAACCAAGTTGATCATGGTTTGTTGTTAATGGGCCTTTTTGGAGAGCTTCTGTTTTGTGGTTTGAAAAACCAAAAACCTATTCAGGAAGGCAGAGGTAGTCCTCGGTTTACAACATTCCTTTAGTGACTGTTTCAGGTTATAATGGCATTGAAGAAAATTGATTGACGACCAGACCTCACACTTATGACTGTTGTAGCATCCTCATTCAGGCATTTGGCAATCAGCATGCACAGGCAGTCCTCGATTTACAACAGTTCATTTAGTGACCGTTCAAAGTTACGATGACACTGAAAAAAGTGATTTAGGACCGTGTTTCACACTTACGACCATTGCAGCCTCCCCATGGTCAGGTGACCAAATTCAGAGGCTTGGCAACGGACTCGTAGTTATGACGGTCGCAGTGCCCCGGGGTCACGTGATTCCCTTTTTGCGACCGTCTGATCAGCAAAGCCAATGGAGAAGCCAGATTCACTTAACGACTGGGTTACTAAATTAACACCTGAAGTGATTCACTTAACAACTCTGGCAAGAAAGGTCGTAAAATGGGGCAAAATTCACTTAACAGATATCTCGCTTAGGAACAGAAACGCTGTGGTCCATTGTGGTGGTAAGTTGAGGACTACTTGTATTTGCAACTCATGCAGCGTCCAGGGTTCACCATTTATGACCTGTCCAGCCAGCTTTTGACAGGCAAAATCAAAAGAGGGAAATCGGATTCACTTAACAACCATGGGATTCACTTAACAAATGCAATCATTCACTTAACAACTGTGTCCAGAAAGGTCATAAACTGAGACAAAACTCACTTAACACCTGGATCGCTTAACAATGGAAATTTTGAGCCCAGGGACAATGTTAACCGTCATAAATATGAGCCGAACGTCCTAATTTTGACAACGATGCGGTTCACTTAACGAGTTTCACTTAACAACCATGGCCAAAAAAAGGTGGCGGGAGCGGAAGCGACTCGCTGAACAACTGACATGCTTAATAACGGAAAATCCAGGTGGCGGTCATAAGTCGAGGACTAGCCGTATCCAAGAACTGGGAGATCTGATGTTGAATGGGATGCTGTGAGGGGGCGGGGGAAGAGATTTATTTATTTTAATTTTTTTTTTAAAAAAAGATCTTTCTCCTTCCTTTTTTTCTCTGATCTGGGTTGCAAAAAATTTCTGGGTGACCTTGAGCCATCCAGTTTTCTGGCTGCTTGTGTTATACGCACAGGGTTTGTGTTATCAGCACAAATTCCCACAAAAACACACACACACACAGAGGAAGGAGTGGGGGAAGCAGCGAACATATCAAGGAGTCTCCCCCCCCCGCCGAACTTTGAAAGAGAGAACAGATTGTTAATATATTTAATATATATTTTCTTGGCGTGCAAAGCGCACTCAGGAATAGTGTCAGGCTATATAACATGTGCGACGGACAAACACAAAATACGCAGGCGGTATATTTAGTGACTCGTCCGAAGTTACAACGGCACCGAAAAAAACGGACTTAGGACCGTTTCTTTCACACTTAATGACCGTTGCAGTATCTCTCTGGTCACGTCATCAAAATTCGGACATTTAGCCACTGACTCGTAGTTATGACGGTCGTCGTGTCCCTGGGTCACGTGATCCTCCTCTTGCATCCTTCTGACATGCAGTAGGGAAGCCGGATTCGCTTAACAACTGTGTCCCTAACTTAACAGTGGTCACGATTCACTTAACAACAGTGGCAAGAAAAGGACGTAAAACGGGACATGGCTCACTTAAAAACTGACTTGCTTCGCAACATAAATTCTGGGCTCAGTGGTCATTGTACGCAGAGGACTCTCTGTACATGGTAGTAGAGATAGTCTTCAATTTACGGCCATCCCTTATATTGGCACTAAGAAAAGGTGACTTATTACCAGTCCTCGCATTTACGACTGTCGTAGAATCCCTATGGCCACATGATCAAAATCCTGGTGTAGTTGCAAACCAACATGTACTCACAAGAGTTGCAACATCCCTGGGTCATGGGATCATCATTAGCCACGGAGTCACTGGGGAATGCCGGATTCGCTTAATGACATAACGACTCTGTGTCTCATTTAACAACTGTCTTCCCCAACAATGGAAATTCTGCTTGCAATTATGCTTGTAAATTGAAGACTACCTGTAGTTAAGGAAGGAAGGAAGGAAAGAAGGAAGGAAGGAAATGATGGAGGGAAAGAGGGAGGGAGGGAGGTGGGATTGAGGAAGAAAGGAAGGAGAGAATATGGAGGAAGGGAGGAAGGAAGGAAAGAAAAGTGGGAGTGAGGGAGTGAGGAAGGAAGGAAGGCGGGAGGAGAGAAGGAAGGAATGATGGAGGGAGAATGAATTGAGGCTGGCAAGGAAGGAAGAAGGGAGGAAAGGAAGGGAGGGAGGAAGAAAGAAAGAAAGAAAGGAGAGAATATGAAGGAAGAAAGGAAGGAGAGAGGCAAGGAAGGAAGGAAGGAAATGATGGAGGGGGAATGGAGCGAGGCAGGCAAGGAAGGAAGAAGGGAAGGGAGGAAGGAAGAAAGGAAGGAGAGAATATGAAGGAAGGGAGAAAGGAAGGAAGGAAAAGTGGAAGTGAGGGAGTGAGGAAGGAAGGCAGGAGGGAGATAAGGAAGGAAGGATGGAAGGAAATGATAGAGGGAGAATGGAGCGAGGGAGGCAAGGAAGGAAGGAGGGAGGCAGGGAAGGAAGGAATGAAGAAAGGAAGGAGAGAATAGGAAGGAAGGGAAAAGGGAAGGAAGGAAAATGGGAGGGAGGGAGGAAGAATGGCAGGAGGAAATTATCCATGAAGGAGGGAAGGAAGGAAATGATGGCGGGAGCATGGAGCGAGGGAGGGAGGAAGGAAGGAAGATGAGAATGGGAGGGAGGGAGGGAGGAAAAGAAAAGCGCATGAGAGATACAGGATGAACGGAAGAGGTCTGAATAAAGGTGATCTCAAAACGTGGAGCTGGAAAATACCTGCCCAGCAGTGAGCCTGCAAGATGGTTTATTGGGACCTTAGTTTATGGGGAGGGGGGCATATTCATCGCTCCTCCCCCCCCCTCGCATTTCAAATTCAACAAACGTTTTGATTTTGGCTCTTGGTTGGGAAAGGGAAAATTAATCACTAAAGCTCCTTAAAGCCAGAACATTTGGTGCAGATTTCACAGGCTTTTATTAGTGTCCCTGTGACTCATAAAATGCATCCAGACTAAAGTTTTTACTTACACTATTTATTTATTCATCAAGTTTATATGGACACCCGTCTCATGAAAAAAGGACATTGGGCCACGTTGTACAAGATTCTAAAACGATTAACCCGTAAAACGTTCGCTATTTTTTTTTTTAAATGGTAATTTTTTAAATAATTTATGTACATTATAAATAAAAGTCCTCGACGTACGACCACAATTCAGCCCACAATTCCCATTGCTAAACGAGACGGCCATTAAGTGAGTTTTTGCAACCTTTTTACGACCTTTCTTGCCGCGGTCGTTAAGCCAGTCGCTGCAGCAGTTAACTTAGTCCCACGGTCGTTAACGGGCATCCCCATCGACTTTGCTTACCTGAAGGTCGCCGAAGTTGCACGACCCTTCCCGGGGACATGGCGACCGTCATAAATACGAGTCAGTGGCCAAGCGTCCGAATTTTGATCGCGTGGCCACGGGGATGCTGCCACGGTCGTAAGTGCGAGGACTGGTCGTAAGCCCCTTCTTTCAGCGCCACTGTAATAGTCACTAAATGAATGGTCGTTAAGTCGAGGACTCCCTGTTTCCAAGCTCCTTTTTGGACGTTTTTCACCGTGTAATGAAACATTCAGTTGGCCGCTGCCGTCCGGATGTGACCAACATACAGTCTCCTGGACAATATTTTTGGCAGTCCGTCTTGAAGACAACGTCCAAAAAACACAACTCGGAGATAGAGCTGATTTCTTTCCAAACCACAATCTTCCTAAATGAATCGGGGCGACGTTTTGAGCTTCCGTTTCTCTTCGAGATGCCATAAAACAATCGGACACTCGTCGGAGAAGGTTCCAGCGGGTAGAATTTGTGTCGTAGCTTCAACACAACACGCGTTTCAAAACGAGGATTGAACTTCAAGGGCGAGGTCGTTAACCTGGGAGCTCTTCCCAGGTTGAGGGGCTTCTGGGTCGGGTGGGTCCTGCTGCCCCCCAAAATGGCTGAGAGCTGTGGTCTAGGACAGGGATGCCATCACGTGCCAAAAGCAGGGGAAGCATGGGGTGTGTGTGTGCATGCCCATACCCATAATTCCATGTGCCCCACCCCCGCGCATACGTGCATGACCCTCTGCATTCCCCCCCCGCTTTTGGCACGCGATGGCATGGTGGGTCCAGTAGGTCCGTTTTTCGCCCTCCCCAGATTCCAGAGACTTTCTTGGCGCCTGGGGAGGGCGAAAACAGTCTTCCCCACCTCCCCAGAGGCCCTCCGGAGGCCGGAAACGGCCTGTTTCCCGACTTCTGGTGGGACCAGAAATTAGCTGGCTGGCACGCACATGAGCACTGGAGCTGAGCTAGGTCAATGCTCACATGCCCACAGATACGGCTCGGCGTGCCACCTGTGGCACATGTGCCAAAGGTTCGCCATCACAGGCCTAGGACATGTCTTTTTTTTTTTCTCCTACCTCTTAAAGCAGAGAGATTGCAGAGGAAGGGATTACAAGAGAGTAAGCTTTGCTGGCTGAGGAACTCTGGGAGTTGAAGTCCACAAGTCTTAAAAGTTGCCAAGGTTGGAGCCCCCTGGTCTAGGAGACCTAAGGGGGCACCTGGTTGGAGAAAGTGGCCGTGTGTGTATCAATATATCGCCCATATTTTGATGTCCTCCTTCAAGGAAACGTTCTTCCCTGTTGAGTTTTCCAGAATTGTATTGTTGGCTGTATCTGATGAATGATTTAACCGGGTTGCTGGGTTCATCTAGATTCTTTTGGGCCATAAATGTACCGCATGAGCTGAATTGCACTGATGATGTTCCCTAGTTGGGTCATGAAACATCTGGAAGCAAATAGCCAAGTTCAGAGAGCACCAATCACCTCACAGTCCTCCTCCTCCTCCTCTTCCCTGTACACCCCACTCCCTTCTAAGACTGATGAAGTTATCTAGTCAGGTAATGAAATGTCTCCAAGAAAACCACCAAGCTCAGAGAACCCCAAGGACCCCACAGTTCAACCCTGAGCTACACCTATTTGCTTCTATTAGACCCGTGATGGCCAACCTATGGCACATGTGCCACAGGTGGCACGTGGAGCCATATCTGTGGGCACGCACGCCGTTGCCCTAGATCAGCTCCAGCACGCATTCCCCTCCCAGGAGTCTCCATGCAGCCTGTTTTGGATGCCAGGGAAGTACAGGGCTTGCGCAGAGGTTCTGGGAGGGCGTTTCCGGCTTCTGGAGGGCCTCCGGGAGGCGGGGGAGGCTGTTTTAACCCTCCCCAGGCTCCAAGAAAGCCTCTGGAGCCTGGGGAGGGTGAAAAACGGGCCTTCCGGGCCCACCACTAACCTTTTTGCCATCGCATGCCAAAAGCATGGGGAGCGTGGGGGGGTTGCGTGCTCATGCACTGGGGTGTGGGGTGTCAGGTTTCAATGTTGTCTCAAATAAAATAAATTGCATTTCCAAACAGATAATCTTTGATGAAATCTTTCATTTATTAAGCACGACAACCTGTCCCCGATTGTGGCGTAGCCAACACTGACTTCCTGACCCCAAACCTTCCCTTTCCGTTCCCCAATTCTCTGCGTCTCATTGGCCCTCTTCCAAATCACTCTCCCCATATCTACTACTTCAGCTCCCAGGAATGTCCCCCCCTCCATCTCATCTCCTAGGGGATATTATCTTCAGGGAAAATAAGTAGGTGAAAAGCCAAGCGTCCTCTTGCCAGCTGCCCCCTCTTCTCCTTTTTATGTCAGCACTAGAGTAAATGCAGGTTGACGTGCTGACATGGGGTGTCATTGAATTATGGGTGAGGGCACACCCGCATATGACCCCCTTGTGCTCCCCCACGCTTTGGCACGCGACAGCAAAAAGGTTAGCCATCCCTGTATTCGACCCAACATTTTTGTGCTGCTGACAAAACGTCTTACCACCAAGCTCAGAGAAAGCACCAAGGGCCCCACAGAGCTGAATTTTGCACCACGTCCTAGGCCGCAGAGGAACAAACCCAACCAGGGTTAGCCCTCAACACACTTAACACGTTGTGTGAACGTGGACTCTAGACTTGGGAAAGGGTGTCGTGGAAGCCAAAGGTTCGATCGGATATTTTTTGATTGACTTAAATCTGTCTCTTTGTCCCTCCCAGGTCGTTGTGCCCGTTGTGGAGAGAACGTGGTCGGAGAAGGAACCGGTTGCACCGCGATGGACCAGGTCTTCCACGTCAACTGTTTTACCTGCATGATTTGCCATAACAAACTCCGGGGACAACCCTTCTACGCCGTGGAGAAGAAGGCCTATTGTGAGCCTTGCTACATCGTGAGTAACCCTCCTCCTTCTCCACGTCAAGCGTGGTGGGTGGGCCTCGGATGCGCTTCAGGTGTCTCCGACTTCAGCTCATCCTTCCAAAGCTCAGCCACAAAGTTGTGTTGGGTGAGGAAGATCAAATTCCATGCTGGAAGGTCCAGCTAAATTTATTTATTGCTAATCGTGCCTGGCGACAGGATTAACAGAATACAGGGGACTCTGACTGGAGGGTGGAGAAGGGAAGTCTAGTCAGAGCCAAAGAAGCTTCTTGGATGAGAAGCGAAACGTCTTCAAAGAAAAACTCGGAAAGTCCAGTTGCCTCTTGGAAAAAAAAACACCTTTGGGATAACCAGGACCTGGATGACTGGGATGAAGGGAGGGTGGGATGGTTGGATGGAGGGAAAGATGGATGGAGGGATGGAGAGATGAAGGGATAGAAGGATAGAGGGAGGGAAGGGTAGAGGGATGAAAGGATGAATGGAGGGAGCGAAGAATGGATGGATGGATGGATGGATGGATGGATGGATGGATGGATGGATGGATGGATGGATGCTTTGCTGAATGGATATAGGATAGATAGACAGATGAGAGAGATGATAGACATATGGATAGATAGAATAGAGTAGAATAGAATAGAGTAGAGTAGAGTAGAATAGAATAGAATAGAATAGAATAGAATAGAATAGAATAGAATAGAATAGAATAGAATAGAATAGAATAGAATAGAATAGAATAGAATAGAATAGAATTCTTTATTGGCCAAGTGTGATTGGACACACAAGGAATTTGTCTTTGGTGCATACGCTCTCAGTGTACATAAAAGAAAAGATACGTTCATCAAGAATCATAAGGTACAACACTTAATGATAGTCATAGGGTACAAATAAGCAATGGATAGGATGAATAGATATACAGACAGATGAGAGAGATGATAGATATGGATGGATGGATGGATAAATATACAGACAGATAGATAGATGATGGAGGGAGGGAGGGAAGGATGGAGGAGGAGGGAAGGATGGATGGGTGGATGGATGGAGAGAATGGATGAAGGGAAGGATGGACAGAGGCATGGAAGGAAGGAAGGAAGGAAGGAAGGAAGGAAGGAAGGAAGGAAGGAAGGAAGGAAGGAGGAAGGGAGAGATGGATGCATGAATGGATCTTTGCCCACCAGCCCTTCCCATTGTAGACCCAAGAGTTGAGGGTGTCCTCCTGCTTCTCACCAGAAGATCTTCCAGTTTTGGTGTCAGCCATGCCCTCTTGGCTCTTCTGGAGCTCGAAGGCCTCTCCGCATCGGCTTTTGTGCCGTCAGGAGGGTCAAACATTTCATAATTGTATTACTCAACGTGCTTCATTAGCCTGAGTGGAGTCCTGGCAGGAGCTCAGCAGCCGGCCGGTCGGCCTGGGAGGGAGGAAAATGGAGGAGGACTCGCTTCTTTCCTCCTCCTCCTCCTCCTCCTCCTCCTCCTCCTCCTCCTCCTCCTCCTCCGATTCATCATCAGATCTTCAGTAAGGCATAAAAATATTAGTTGGGGTGAAATGGAGCAGAAGAGGAGGGGGCCAGCCCACTGGACCCCGTGCAGCCCCCCCCCCATGGCTCCAGAGGGGACAGTCAGACGGTCACACTAAATGTAATAGAGAGAAGGATTTCTCCTTCTCCACCTCCAACATCACCATTTCTCCTTCTACAGCATCACTTTCTCCTCCTTCTACACTATCATCATCTCTTGTTCTCCTTCCTCTTCTTCCTCCTCCTCTTTCTTCTCCTCCTCCTCCTCCTTATTATCATCCTTTCTTCTCCTCCTTTCACTCCTCCTCTTTCTTCTTCTTTTCCTCCTTTCTTCTTCTTCTCCACCTCCTTCTTCTCCTCCTCTTCCTCTTTTTTCTTCTCCTCCTCCTCCAGCTCCTCCTCTTTCTTCCCCTCCTCCTCCTCTTTCTTCTCCTCCTCCTTCTCCTTTTCTTTCTCCTCCACCTCCTCCATCTTATTATCCTCCTTTCTTCTCCTCCTTTCACTCCTCCTCTTCCTTCTTCTCCTCCTTCCCCTCCACCACCTCCTCCTCCTCTTTCTTCTCCTCCTCCTCCTCCTCCTTCTTCTCCTTCTGCTAATCCTCCTTGCAATCCCTCCTCCCTTCTAGCACTGATGATGTTCCCTAGTTGGGCCATGAAACATCTGCCAGAAACCCCTCACCCCCAGCCCAGAGAGCACCTGGGACCCCTTATTTCAACCTACAAATATTCTCCTTTAAATGCCTGAGGAAAACTCCAGCTCAGGATAACTCACCTTCACAGAGCACATTGGTGACAACGTGCTGCATTTGGGAGTCATTATCTCTGGGGCTGGAGGTGTTGCGTGGTGCACGTTGCATATGGCAGATGCCTCTGTGTGTGTGTGTGTGTGTGTGTGTGTGTGTGTGTGTGATTTAGCATATTGTGCTACCTCAGTTTCCCTGACGATGCCCTGTATCCTGTAAACCCAGAAAACAGGTGAATCCGCTTAGCAGATGTGCAGCCTGGGAATCCCTAGAGCTGACCCAAATTATCAGAAAGGTTTCCTTCCACGCCACAGAAGAGAATGAAGTTTCCCAAAAACTAGTAGAGAAGAGAAGAGAAGAGAAAAGAGAAAATAGGGGAGGAGAGGAGAAGAGAAAATAGAATAGAATAGATGGAGTGGAGTGGAGTGGAGTGGAGTGGAGTGGAGTGGAGTGGAGTGGAGTAGAGTAGAGTAGAGTAGAGTAGAGTAGAGTAGAGTAGAGTAGAATAGAATAGAATAGAATAGAATAGAATAGAATAGAATAGAATAGATGGAATGGAATGGAATGGAATGGAATGGAATGGAATGGAATGGAATGGAATGGAATAGGTTGAAAGGGACCTTGGAGGTCTTCTAGTCCAACCCACTGCTTAGGCAGGAAACCCTCTACCAGTGATGGCTAACCTTTTTTTCCTCTGGTGCCAAAAGCACGTGCGTGTGTGCGACAGTGCCCACACCCATAATGCAATGCCTCCCACGTGCCCCACCCCCCTGTGCATGCACGCACATGTGTGCGTGACTCCCCCATCCCCTGCACTCGCCCCCCCCCCCCCTGCCCCCCCGGCCCATTTTTGGTCCCAGGAGGCTTCAGGGAGCCCTGCTAGGCCCAAAATGGGGTGGGGGGGCGCTCCGCCTCATCCTCCCGCCCCGCTGTGCATGCATGCACGACCACCCCGCCCAGTCCCCCCCTCAGCACATGCGCACGCATCTCCACAGACCAGTCAGCTGGCCGGTGGGACACATGCACACATGTGCGGTGGAGGTGACGTAGGGCAACAGCTCACATGCCCACAGAGATGGCTCCGCGTAACACCTGTGGATTCAAAGATCAACGGCCCTGAAAAAACCCCGACTTACGACGGCTCCTCATATTCAAACATGGCAATCGTAACCAATAAACAAATTGTTCCTGTATTTGTGACCGTCGCAACATCCTGGGGTCACGTGACTGCCTCCCAGCTGCTTCCGACGAGCAAAGCCAACAGGGGAAGCTGGATTTGTTTTACGGCCATGGGATTCGCTTATCGACGGCAGTGATTTGATTAACCGCCATGGCAACAAAGTTCGTAAAAAGGGTAAAAAAGACTTGGCTAACGACCTCCTCGCTTAACAACGGGCATTCTGTTCTCCAGTGGTGGACATAAGTCGAGGACTACCTGTCAAAATGCCAAAAAAAAAAGGCAGATCTATTTATTTATTGTTTATTTATTGGTTTGATTTATATGCCGCCCTTCTCCGGAGACTCAGGGCGGCTTACAGTGTGTTAAGCAATAGCCTTCATACTTTTGTATATACCTGCTTAGTAGGGCTTTTGCCCCCCCCCCCCAAGCGGTGTTCTTTTTTATACAAAGTCAGCTTATTGCCCCCACAATCCAGGTCCTCATTTTACCTACCTCGGAAGGATGGAAGGCTGAGTCAACCTTGAGCCTGGTGAGATTTGAACTCGCAGTAATTGCAGGCAGCTGGTGCTACTTAACAGCACTTTAGTCTGCTGCGCCACCAAGGCTCCTTGGAGATCACGGAATTCTCCTAAAAAATAGAAAGAAGAACATCTGCCATTTGGCTCCGTGACTTGATATTCTTCACTTTCTTTGGGCTCAGCAGACAAACGGATTCATTTAGAGACTTGACACCAATGAACGGAATAACAGAGTTGGAAGGGACCTTGGAGGTCTTCTAGTCCAACCTTCTGCCCAAGCAGGAGACCTTATACCATTCCAGACAAGTGGCTGTCCAGTCTCTTCTTAAAAACCTCCAGTGATGAAGCACCTACAACTTCTGAAGGCAACTTCTGTTCAATTGGTTGATTGTCCTCACTGTTAGGAAGTTTCTCCTTAATTCCAGGTTGCTTCTCTCCTTGTTTAGTTTCCACCCGCTGCTTCTTGTTCTACCTTCAGGGGCTTTGGAGAATAACTTGACTCCCTCTTCTTTGGGGCAGCCCCTGAGATATTGGAACATTGCTATCCTGTCTCCCCTAGTCCTTCTCTTCATTAAACTAGACCTACCCAGTTCCTGCAACTGTTCTTCATATGTTTTAGCCTCCAGCCCCCTAATCCTCTTGGTTGCTCTTCTCTGCACTCTTTCTAGAGTCTCAGCATCTTTTTTACATCGTGGCGATGTAATTATGGATGCATTATTCCAAGTGTGGCCTTACTAAGGCTTTATAAAGTGGTATTAACACTTTTAACGTGATCTTGATTCTCTTCCTCTGTTGATGCAGCCCAGAACTGTGTTGGCTTTTTTGGCAGCTGCTGCACACGGCTGGCTCAGATTTAATCCACTAGGACTCCAAGGTCCCTCTCACAGTTACTACGATTGAGCAAAGTTACCACCTGTCTTCTACCATATCTGGGCATTTGGTTTTCCTTGCCTAAATGTAGAAAGCCTTACTTTTGTCACCCTTGAATTTCATTTTCTTAGAGAGGGGCCCGGTGTTGAAGTCTATTGAGATCCCTCCGTATCTTGAGCCCACCTTCTGGGG